TTGCAATATCAATCCACCAAACTTGTTAAAAATATTTTTAATTTCAATCAACCACACTTGTAAAAATAAATATTGAGAACCAGATACTCCAAACCCCACTAACTGTATTTATGTTTTTTGCACAAAGCAGATTTCATTTAGAAACTATACAAGTAGTTTTGGAGTGTTTGGGTTGTTAGATAGTCTCATCAGGGGTCCATGATTGATTGATTAATCGTACGTTGTTTTAAGTCCCATTCGAGGATTTTTCATTTATATAAAGACTTCGCCATATATTGGTGAAGGGCTTCATATTTTGACCTTTACTCGGCACTAGGTATTGAGCAGTGAGGGATCATTATTGTGCCAACGCCTGCCGTGACATGAGTCCTCGGTTTTTAAGGTCTCATCCGAAGGATCCGCAATTTTCACTTCAAAGTGCCGAGCACTTGGCGAAGGAACAGTTGCTACCAATTTTTTATCGACTTAGGTCAGCCTGGGCAGAGATTCGAACTCACAACCTTCCGATCACGAAACGAGCGCTCTACCGACTGAGTATCAGGGGTCCAACAAGCTATATGATGTTCATTTTCAGTGAGACTTGATTATCTTTTCACCTATGTTCTTATGTTTGCTGTAAGTGATAATCGGTTAAGAATAAAATAACGATTTTCATTCAGTATTTCTAAGCACGATATTCAAATATTTCAGAATTAATTTTTTCGGTACTTTAATACAAGGATTATATTTAGGAACTAATATTGAAGGGGTACGAAGTGGTTGCTTTCTAGTAGTAGTGTTTTTGAGGAGAGGTCTCGATCAATTTGTGTAATTTATCGTCTCTTTGATAGCAAGATCATTTTTTGAGACAGAGTAACCTCGCTTTGATAAATGCGCCTTAAAGGCATAGAGTGTTGTATTCAGACTGGTAGAGTCAGTAATATTTCTTACATGTATAATGCATTCGTTATTTCTTTGAAGATATTGGATGTTGTTTGTAGGTTTTATAAACGACTTGATATCAAGTTTGTTAAGGTATTGAAATTTTAGAGTTTTTTTTTACGTTATGATGGAATTGTTTAACAGTATGGTGAATTCTTTGTCACAGATTTCTGGGACCTGGGATTGCATCCATGCTTGCTACTCTAATTTGCTTGTACAATTTTTTACGAAACTGGAAGTAATTTATTTCCAAGAAACATTTTAGTAAAAAAAAATGTTAGATTGGATCCTTAGGGTTATTTGTATCAACACACACGGATAATTAATAGGATTTTTTCTCCAATGAAAATACTCATAGGTGATCTCAAATACATTGCTTACATGTATATACTATAGTTAACCACTGCTGTTTTTCTATCTAATTGCTATGCGATTAAATAGACGATCAATTGATTGATTGTATGTTGTTTTACGTCACCTTCGAGAATTTTTCACTCATATAGAGATATCACTAAATACTGGTGAAGGGCTTTAGACTTTTACTCAGTACTTGGGGCCATAGAGCATATATAAATAAACGAAGTAAGAAAAACAAAACTGCTGCACGAGCTTTACTTATCTACGGGTAGTTTAAGCTTACTGTAAAAAGCTACAGTAACAAGAGAAGAGTTTGTTCTAAACCTATCAAGATACAACTTATCCAAACATGAACTCTCGTTACTGAACAAAAGCTTAAAATTCATTCCAACATCAAAAAAGTAACAATGATAAAAGCATACTTCTCAAAGACTTCCATGAAACAACTATTATGTAATCCTATAGTATTTGTTCCTAAATTTAATCCTTGTATTCTGAAGTATTGGAATAGTATGACGAGAAATACAGAATGAAGATTATTATTTGTTCTAAACCGATTATGCTTACAGCAAACACAAGAACAGAGGTGAAGAGATGACGAGGTCTCACTAAAAATGAGCATCTTTATACTTTATTTGGTCCCTGAGTAATCTTATAAATCGTTTAAACACTCTACAACTACTTGCATAATACATGAGCATAATGCATTCTAATGCATGCAAAAAATATAATAACAAAAAAAAAATAATTAATCAATTAACTAAGAAGACGGTTTGGAGTGTAGGGTAACTAATACAAATCTGGTTAATTTATTTCATTTATTTTCATATTTTCATACTTTTCACAATATCTGAACAATATATCGAAGACGTATTGTCAATTAACAATGGTAATTTCTATTCTTATGTCGTATGTATATCACAGTGAGCTTGAAATTATAAAAGATTCCACATAGTCTGACACATCTGTTTCATATTTGGATATTTTATTAGAAAAGGACGTTAATGGTAATCTAACAACCAAGCTTTGTAATAAACGTGATGACTTTAACTTTTCAGTCGTCAACGTCTCTTATTTACGCAGCAATATACCTTCATCACCTGCATACGGGGTTTATATCTCTCAGTTGATTCGATACGCAAGAGCATGCTCTACGTATGAACAATTTCTAAACCGAGGAATGCTATTGACAAACAAGTTGATGAAACAAGAGTATCAGCAGTCTCTTTTAAAGTCATAATTTCGTAAGTTCTATGGTCGATACAATGACCTTTTCAGCAAATACAATTTATCATTTAGTCAAATACTGACTGAGGTTTTTCATACTATTGTTAGGTTATTATTTACACACTGAAATGCCGACGGATTTTTCCGTTATTTCCCGATCATGACAAGGAGCACACGGCGGGTGTGACCGGTCGACAGGGGATGCTCACTCCTCCATGGCACCATATCCCACCTCTGATGTTTTAGAGGTCCGTGTTTGCTTTGCTCCAAAATTTGTATAGATTAATATACTTTTGAGCATAAATACTGTTCGTTAACTCCATATATTTCATTAAGCTTTATAACGGGGTTACAACCCCACATAGGATAATTATAACTTTTGACGTTATGACGTCATCACGGACTTACTGATATACACGTTACATAAGATTAATATGTAGATTTTAAAAAAAATGTAACTCTCTTACCCCCCCCCCCCGCAAAAAAAGGTAAGAACTGTTATTCCATTCATTGTATCTCTAACAGCCATAAAGAGGATAATGATCATTTCTGAAAAAAAAAAAAAAAGATTTCATGAGACAAGCAATGCATCATGATTCATCCTTGTAGATAAAACAAATTAAGTCTTCTTTTAAAATTGTGCGTGTATCATAATTGTGATTTTTTTTCATGCAGTAATTTCCCAATGATTTCTCCCAAACCACTATTTGCATTACTGATAAGGTTATATTGAAGTTTTAAACTAATTCAATTGAAAAATGTCATTTCTATTTGTTTTTGAAAAAATGGTAGGTCCCACATGAAGTTGTCAAACATTGAAAATTAGAGCAATGATACAAAATCGATACCACTCCGACTCCCTTCCGTTCCAAAAATAATCAGCTCTATTAGTTTCGAATTTTTTAGTTCCAGATAAACGTATACATTACAAACTATTTCGGGTATATGAGGCGTTTAAAAAACTGAGTTAATTTGTCTGTTGCTAGAATTTCTTTTTTAGAGATCTCAGTTATTTATTCGTTCCAGTGGATCCGCTTTACTGCATGGTTTATGTTATGCACTAATTAGGGATAATTCCAAAATTTGTCTATTAACGTCCACTTTATATGCAAAAACTACAACTGGAGATGTTTAATAATATGTAAACTGATAATTGTTATGGCGTAAAATTACACTGACCAGCATGATTTTCATAACATGCCTTTCAAACCATGAAGAATAATGTTTGTTATTTCGCTTCATAATGCAACTAAAGAGCTGTGTAGAAATATATTGATTGGGCATAATTCCCAGAAAATTAAAAAAACAAGAAGTTTCCATTATAATATTGTATCTATGCTTTACACAGTTGATCTACGTCCTGGAAGGAAAACGGAAAAACAATAAATCAATCTTATACGAAAAGTATTGAGGAAGGATTACATTTAACTAGAATAAAAAAACAACAAAACACTTAAAATGGATAAATAATGATACAATCATAGCATTTTTGAGGATTTCATACTGGCAGCCCTACATATACTTAAAATTCTAACCATTAACAGAAAGTTAGAAACTGAATCAATTTCAGTTTCTTTTTACCATGACTTATCTTATAATACCCACTAACGAGCGTCAGCTGCAGAGTTTTTTTTTAGCATTAGTTAATTTCGTATAATCATTTATATCTAAACTTGTATTCATTTACCTTAACAAAGCGAAAAAAACAAGGATGTATAATTTCCTTTCATGAGAACATAACTCCATATTCAACTTGCATCTGTATATATTCATGCTTCAATTCTTTTGGAATTAGGCCTGGAGAAAAAAAAAAAATTAATCAACGTTCCTTTCTTTAAAACCAAAATCAAAGCTTTATTACACAAATTTAACTAAAGTTATTTTCAGGAATTTAAAGAAAATGATAATTTTTTAGGTTGTTTGCAAATTTCTTGACTGTTACAATAAAGTTCTGCTGAAGATACAGTTTTGAAATATGTTCAAACATTGAGTTTAGAAAATTTTACACTTTTTCCCCCAACAGAAACGTTAACGTATATTTTGAAATTTGTTTCTAATTTTCGTTAAATTTTTCTTGCAAAATAAGTATAAATTAAAAGGAATTTTCAAGGGAAAAATTACTATTGCTCTAAAATGATCTGTATTTTAAAACAATCCTTACATTTAAGAATAGAAACAAAGAAATACAAATTTAAAATTTCAGTTGACCATTCTTCACAAAACTTTAATTTTTATGAAAATATGCAGCAAATTATACATTATTTAACTCATCGCTTTTTCTCCTTTGTTTTCATTTGCGTTTCTTGACACATATTTCATGACCTCTGTATTGCATAGTTTTCGTTGGTATATCACGTGATCGTTTTCCATAAAGTTTTTGCCATAAAAGGCAATCTTTTTCTGCTTGGTTGTTTCTTTTGTGAACTCAGATAAAACCAGTTCACATCTATTGATTTCCTCAAATCAAACGAACATCCAGAGTAGTGAAGCTACTTTCAAAATCAGAAAATATGAGTAACAAAGACGATGCAGCTTTAGTTATTGATAATGGATCTGGAATGATAAAGGCCGGATTCAATGGGGAAAATTCCCCTGTAGTTGAGTTCCCTTCAGTTGTAGGACGCCCAAAAAATCAGGTAAAGAAAAAAATTAAATAAACACGAATCAGATGTTTTTTTTCCCTTCAATTGACTTTAATTAAGTTAATTTAATTAAGTTTTTTTCGACATGGTAACTCTTTTTTTTTCACTTCCTAGACAATTTTGACTTGCACAATTTACTTGCAAAGTTGCACCATTTTTTTTCTTTTTAAATTGATTTTGGCAAGTAGATACATGATTAGAGCTAAGCAACATCATTAGAAAAATACCTTTAGATAAATATAAAATTTTACAGTATGAAAGCAATTCAAAAATGAAATACAATACTAAGATTATTGGGGCACAATTGCAAGAACTAATCGATGTGATTCAAACACCGGTTATTACTAGCATAAATCAACATGCTCAAACCATTCCAATTATATAAAATTTAAGATTTAGATGTGGTAAAACATTTTTTTTCTTTTTGGATAAAATGGCATTTATTATTCTAGATGTGTTATGTGGAAAAAAGTTAGAGTACAAAGTTGTATATTAATTCATCTTTCATATATTCTAAAAAGTAATTGCTGAATCATCTTAAAATTTTACTTTTCAGGATGTCATGGTGCAGAAGGACAGCTATGTAGGATATGAAGCACAGAACAAGAGGGGTATTCTTACCCTCACGTATCCAATTGAACACGGTATTGTTACCAACTGGGGCGACATGGAGAAGATCTGGCATCATATCTTCTATAATGAACTCCGTGTGGCCCCAGAGGAACATCCTGTCTTCCTAACCGAGGCCCCACTTAACCCAAAGGCCAACAGAGAAAAGATGACACAGATAATGTTTGAAACCTTCAAGTCTCCGGCCATGTACGTAGCCAACCAGGCTGTACTTTCTCTGCATGCCTCCGGTCGTAAAACTGGAATTGTACTTGATTCTGGAGACGCTGTCACCAACGCAGTACCCATTTTTGAGGGACGTGTTCTTGCCCATGCCGTTTTCCGATTAGATTTTGCTGGACGTGATCTGACAGATTATTTCCTGAAAATTCTCAAAGAACGTGGGTACTCTTTTACAACCACAGCTGAGAGAGAAATTGTCACTAATATTAAAGAGAAATTATGCTGTGTTGCTCTGGATTTCGAACAGAAAATGCAAACAGCAGCGTCATCATCATCCCTGGAGAAGAGCTATGAGCTTCCTGACGGCCAAGTCATCATTATTGACAAGGAGCGATTCCGGTGCCCAGAAGCCCTGTTCCAACCATCTTTCCTTGGATTGAAATCTGATGGTATTATCGAAACTATATATAACAGCATCATGGAATGTGATAGCGATATTATTAAGAAGTTGTTCGAAAATATAGTATTGTGTGGCGGTTCAACTATGTTCCCTGGTATTGCTGACCGTTTGCAGAGAGGAGTCGTATCTTTAGCTCCTCCATCAATGAACGTCAAGGTCTTTGCTGCATCTGAAAGGAAACACTACGCCTGGATCGGTGGTTCTACCCTTGCCTCCTCCTCTAGTTTCCAACAAAAGTGGATCAGCAAAAAAGAATATGAAGAATCTGGTCCTTCTATTGTGCACAAAAAATGCATTTAAGTCTTCATTAAATTAAAGATAACTCTATCAGTTTTCAAAATTACTTAGTAAATTTTCAATTTAAGAAGATTTTTTTTTTATTTTTTTTTTAAATATATATATATTGCAGCTTGTTACTCATATGTGAAAACAATATTAAATCAAGGAATGATTATTTTTGTTCTGCAATTATAAATCTGCAAAGAGATAAAGAGATATAAAACAAAGTGAAGTTCCGTGAATGAATGAATGAAGAACACCTAAAATATAAATATCCAGAAGATATTCAGAAAGCATAGACAAGTGCTAATCCAACACATTTAACCTTAACTTATAAGGCCATTCTTTCCTTTTCTCTTGCAAAATAAACATAATTAAAAACATCAGCTTCCGAGAATGGGAAAATGTAACAGTTAATTTTTGCTATAGAACTCTATACGATCTTTATGACCTCTTAGTATTGAACAAATTGAATTTCAGACAAATCTTTCCTTCGTTTGAAACTTCATTATAATTGCTTAAAAAGGCTAAAATAATATGGGGTAGCCTGGCGTTTATATGTCAAAATTGCAGGATTTTTAAATACAATTTATACCGATCGGCAATAATCACACTCCTACAATATATGGTGTATCTGTATTTACTGTAAAATTCCCTCTTTCAATTATTAATTTCAAAAATTAATATCTTTCGCTTTCAAATGAAAATAATTAGAGCGTAAACTCAACCAATCGCATTACGTCTACCAATTCATTACTCTGTACCACTTTTTCTAACAAACAGATGATGTAAACATCGGGAGGGGGGTAATCTCAATCCCAATGGCGTCAACTTAATAGAAACATTTGAAATGCACCCAGACATCCGGTAATAATCTATCACTGAAACATACATGTATGCATTACTGAAAGGAATTTGAATCTGCTTGCTAGCAGTTGGTGCAGATAAAAGACCAAAATATAGTCTTATAGTCGTCATCATTAATTAAACTCATATCAAGAAATTAGTGATTGCAATTGTTAACAGATTAAGTGATATTTGGTCCGAACAATGCTGATCTGCAATACAAATGGGTAAGTCGAAAAAATTGAAGTAAAGCAATATATCAACACAATTTCATTAAACAATTTTTTTCTCCAATAAATATTTAAAATCCTGGAGGTTGCTAAGTTGGCTCTTTCATATAATTATCTAATTATGTTAATACGGAGATCGTATTACCGCAAAATTGCAAGATTTTACAACTTTTTACCGCTACATTTTTTTCCCACTGAAATAAGTTTTTTTTTTACCCCGACATATTTTTTTATTAGAAAATTGATGTATGCAACTCATTATCGCGACATCTGCAAAAAAAAAAAAAAAAACTGCGTTAAAGGTTAATACATGTATATTTTACTTCACTAAATTAATTGCAGCACTGTTAAGGCGAACAACGAAGAAATCAGTAGAATATAGACGTGCACAAACAGATGCCTGTTTAAACTAAATTTATTTTTGTAAAATTATTATATTATCACATGAATTTCATATTAATTGAAATAGCATAGTATACACCACTCTGTATTGAATTTGGTTTGGTCACATAATTTGACAATTACGAGATGAATGCATTTAATGTGTGCTGCATGAAGGTCATAAGAAATATCAATACCGCAAAGGCATACGCTAATTAAAATGAAAAAAGGGAGAATTTGTTTCTAAATATCATAAAGTTTCTGGAAAGTACTACTTCTTTAAATAGAATTTGCATATTATTAGTTTAATTTCGAAATATTTGTCTGAAATCAATTATTGATTTGGCCAGTAACAGAATTGTTGCTGGTTCGAGCTGTGCCTTGGTCCTTCCGAAACTTCATAAAAATCCTAACCAACAAAGATACATAGCTGGTTCCAGTAAATGTTCAACCAAGCCTCTTTCTTTACTCCTCACTAAGATATTAACTGTAGTGAAGGGGAAACTTCAAGAGTACTGTGCAACAATATATTCGAGAAGTGGTGTAAATCAGATGTGGAAACTTAAAAATTCCAAGGAACTTTTGGAAAACAACTCGACCCACAATATGCCTTACTTGGCCTAGCAAATATGAAAAAAAAATAAGTGGGCTTTAGAATATATGTTTTTGATAATTTTCACCCTAGAACATTAACGCATTTCACATGTGCAACATTTCCGTCAAAACCGGATGTTATTATGACAAACTAAATTCTAAACCTCACCGTGGTTCGAGGTTTTCCGGGAAAATGAAAAAAAAATTACACAATTAATCGTGATTTACACAAAATATTAAAACAGAAAACGAATAATATCTATTCGAGAAATATTTTCCAATGAAAATATTTTGCGGTAACGAGTGTCCTCATGTTGAAAAAAAATAAAATAAAATTTCAGTGCGTGTGAAAAAAGTATGGCCACGAACCATCATATGTGTCTTCGTGTTTTACACAAACGTATAGGATCGATTCAAGAGATGTATTATATTGATAATGTAAGTGGAAACACACTCGTATCCAACGTAAAAAAAAAAAATGTTAAATGAGGCGTCATTAGGAAAATTTTAAAAAATATAAGAGTCAATGATGGATCCATGAATACCAACGCCAAAAAAATCTAACCCCCCCCCCTTTTTTGACAAAGAAAATAAACCCGTTCGAACACGAAAAACCTAATTGGTGGATTTTGGTTGGCCACATTTATATATATATATATATATATATATATATATATATATATATATATATATATATATATATATATATATATATATATATATATATATATATATATGTATATATATATATATATATATATATATATATATATATATATATATATATATATATATATATATATATATATATATATATATATATATATACATATATATAGAAAGCACAAAAAAATTCACTTTCATAAGGATACCCACTTCCGCAACAGCCCGGGGTTGAACTCTCGACCTACGGAATCTGTCTCCTAGCAGTACAGGAACAGCGCGCTAGACCGCTCGGCTATCTAGGCAAGTCAAAAAACTTGCTTTCGATGCCGATGGAATTCTCGCGGCGCTGCTCTACACTACACGGTCATTGAGAATGGAAGTGAGATACAGTTATTTGGACATTAGTTTTATTAAAGGGTCGTTACCAATACACGTTGTAATGAAATCTATTTTTATTTATAAAGCACATTTTACAACAACTCTTAAACTAACATAACTGCCCTAAGTGAAGAAATATTAATATAGAAAGCACAAAGAAATTCACTTTCATAAGGATACCCACTTCCTCCCCAGCCCGGGGTTGAACTCTCGACCTACGGAATCTGTCTCCTAGCAGTACATATATATATATATATATATATATATATATATATATATATATATATATTTATATTTATATATATATATATATATATATACACGACTCTTCTTACCAACTCCAGTGAACTTCTTTTTCCTTTTGGGTGGTGGTGGGAAAAGAGGGGGGGGGATCTATTTCTTCCTTTACATTTAATATCTGAATTTCGCTGGATCCGCTACTGAGATTATGAGATGAGAAGGAGCATAAGATGCAATCATATCAACATCAATTTGAAGTTTAGGAATTATCTAAAACTAGGATTCATGGCTATAAAATCTACTGGAAACAGGGAGAAAGGGTGTTTGTCAATAGCACTATGTGCTAAAAGGTCAATGTCCTATAGAATATGTATAAAACAACCTTTGAAATATTTTCTTGAACGCATGTCAAACTATTTTTGCCACACGAAAATAGAATTTGTATGCCCCCCCCCCCCTTATTTCTACCACTGCTTACTACAGCAATATTCTCTATTTCAAGAATAATAGAGAGCATTTTACCCTTTCCTCTTATTCTGTCTGCCGTGAGGCCTTATTAGCAAGTACTTGTTCATATGAAATCAATCAAGATTACGCTGAGTATTTGCAAAATATTAATGCCTGTACAAATGTATCTCACTATCTTGACATGTATTTACGAGCATTACATACGCAAAACTGCTCTATTTATTTACATGAAAATCATAATGTGAATATGAAATTGAAAGTTATGAATGTTTAGCAATACATCGATAAAAAATACTAAATTTATTACATTTATAGGTCAATAGATAATGATAAGTTTGGAGAAGAAAAACAGAAACATCATTTATTTATCTCCACTTTACAACACTCCACGAATCCCTCTCCTGCATACACTTATTATTTTCGGGAATAGAATATGGCCTAGCGATTGGCTGGTTCGCGAGGATAAATATCCACGAGCTTGGGCTGCATGCGAATCTGTCGGTTATTTCTCGCATACTTATTCATGAAAGTTGTTTACAGTATAGATGTAAGAATTTATCTTGATGTTACATGTACTCTCTTTTTTTATATACATTAAAAATTATCATCACATATTTCTACCTCTATTTATTTCTTGCCGTAAATATATACATGTACATGTATTTCGAACAACAAATCAGCTAATACCTATATTTATATTTCATGATCAATTGATATATACTCTATCTGTTTATTCTTTGAATGTGGGGAATTCTCGTGAATTCAACTAAGTTAATAGCACAGATCTTCAATTTTTAAGCAGATTTCACAATTTGTTTTAGGTGATTTTCTTTTAAATGTAATTCCTATTGCATTTTTCTATCAAAACGCTGTCATATTGCAATATCTATTTTTTCAAAAAGTATAATAGATATTGAAAAAAGGAAAACGGTTATGAAAAGCTAAAAATCTACATTATCTATAATAAACATTACATTAATTTTTGAGAAGAGGCCATTTTTGATGGTTCGTGGACTTAGCTCTTTGAAATCACAAGATTTTACCAAAATCAACAACTTAAAAACTTATGACTTTTCAACTTTATACACAACCATTCCCCACGATAAATTAAAATCCAGGCTTTTTGATATCATTGACAGCTGCTTTTTCAATAGAAATCGAACTCGTAAATTTACATACCTTGTCATTGGTCTTTTGCAAAATTATTTTGTTAAAAAA